GGCTCACAGTTGCCCAATGTTTTCATTTTAGTTTCCTCGCTGAATCAGGGGTTCTTACTGGGGTGGCTTTGTTCCATTTTTGTGATGTCCGGAGCCATGTTTTTTAATTGTCATGATGGGGGTGGGCAGTGCCCAGGGAAGCTGCTAACCATTCCACAGTGCACAAGACAGCTCCCCATGACAAAGAATTGTCCAACCCCAAGAGGGAAGATGTGGGGAGAGCCCTGCTGTTCAGTGTGCTTGGAGAACCCGCAATTTGGGAGCTTGATGAAAATTCTGCCCTCAGACTTGCTGAATCAAAATCTGTAATTTAGGCCAGGTGCGGTGGCTCACGCATGTAATCCCAGCTCTTTGGGAGGATCGCCTGAGCCCAGGAGTTTGAGACCAGCCTAAGCAACATAGCGAGACCTTGTCTCTACAAAAAATCAAAAATATCAGCAGGGCATGGTGGTGCACACCTGTAGTCCAGAAGGCTGAAGCAGAAGGATCGCCTGAACCCAGGAGGTCAAGGTGAGCCGTGGTCATGCCACTGTACTCCAGCCTGGGCAACAGAGTGAGACCCTGACTCAGAAAAAAACCCTGCAATTTAGCGAGACCCCAGCATGATGCTTGTGCATGTAGAAGTTAGAGAAACATGGAGTTAAAAAAAATATTTTTTACTGTGAGGGAAAATACACCTTGCTTCAAATCACAGCTCTGACTCTTCTAGCTGTGACCCTGGCCAAGTTACAAAACCTCAGTGCACCTTAGTTATTTTGGTTGTAAGGTGGGGATGATAATAACACTCATCTTATGAAATGGTTGCGAGAATCAGACAAGCTTATGTGTGTCAAGGACTCATCACACAGTAAGAACTCAACACACTGTCGCTAATGGTGGATAATAAAATAAAGAAGGCAGAAGTCGAGACCATGAGGGAGGCAGTTTATGCCTCAGACTTCACAGTTGTCATCACCAAACAATGCTTGTGTTCCTTGTTTTTCTGAATGCTAAAAACTGGAGCTGCCTAAGCTTCTATAGACAGTGTCCCTGTCAGCAGCCCAAGTGGCAGAGAGAACCTGGACCTGGGATAAGCAGCCTAAACTACTAAGAGTGTTCCATCCTCCCAGCCTGAGTTCTAGCTGCTGGTTCATTGTGGTTCAAAATTCGCAAGGATATCAGTAGGAACAGACACTGGGGGAGGGGAGTCTCCGTGAGGTGAGCCCTTGTTTTACTAGTAGGGCTTAAGAATGCCCAAGTTGGCTAGGCGCGGTAGCTCGTACGTGTAATCCTAACACTTTGGGAGACTGAGGCGGGAAGATTGCTTGAGTCTGGGAGTTCAAGACCAACCTAGTGAGACCTCGTCTCTACAAAAAAATCAAAAAACACGCCAGGCATGGTGGGGTGTGCTTGTAGTCCCACCCACTTGGGAGGCTGAGGCAGAAGGAAAGCCTAAGCCTAGAAGGTAGAGACTGCAATGAGCTGTGGTCATGACACTGCACTCCAACATGGGCAACAGAGTGAGATTCTAAATCCCCCTGCCCCAAAAAAGGAACGCTGGGGTCAACCCCACCTAACACTCAGCAGGACTCCCTTCTTGGCTACAGGGGTGTGTGAAAACACTGCTCTCGCTACCGTTCCAGCACTTGCCACACTGGCCAGGGCGTCTCACAGGAATTCGCTTTTAGAGATGAGAATCTTTTGCAGACCAGTGGGAGAAATGCTTCCAACATGAGATAAAGCAGAGCTGGAATCATAACTGCAGTCCAGCGGAATTCTCAGAGCCAAGAAGGTAAAAGAGGAAAGACAGAAAGCCAGGAGAAGGCTTAAAGGAAAGACTTCGTGTTGCAGAATGAGCTGAAATAGGAGTGCTGACTCAAACTCCCTTGAAAGAAAAGGGTTCATTTGAACTACGTCAAGGTCAATAATGACCCGTCCTAAGTCTACAGGTATTTTTAGGGGCAATGTATTAATTTGCTTTCTAAGTGTTTTGCAGGAGACCATTTTTCCATCTTTTTTTTTTTTTTTGAGTTGAGATCTCACTCTGTTGCCCATACTGGAGTACAGTGGCATCATCACAGCTCACCATTGCCTCAATCTCCTGGGCTCAGGTGATTCTTTCACCTCAGCCTCCCGAGTAGCTGGGACTACAGCTATATGCCACCATGGCTGGCTAATTTTTAAAAAAATTCTTTGTAGAAATGAGGTCTTTCTTTGTTGCCTAGGTTAGGCTCAAACTCCTAGACTCAAGCGAGGCGAACCTCAGCCTCCCAGAGTGCTGAGATTACAGGTGTGAGTGACCACACCTGGCCTCCGTCTTTGATTTTTAATCAGAACAGACTTGCATTCTTTAATTTTTATTTTGAAGATGTTTATTTTCACAAACTTAGAAAATATAGGAAATACGTGAATAACAGCACACACAAACCCAGCGCCTGTTTCTCTCTTTTTTAATCCAAGTTATTTCTCAAGCACCCCATGGGTGCCAGCAGCTGTGCACAATGATGGACAAGGTAGTGAGGTTCTAGCTTTTTTAGGGCTTATAGATGAGTGGCTAAAATTTTGATGTATTTCTTTCCAGTATTTTTCTTTGCTTTTCATATATGACAGAAAACAATAAGAGCGAATTTTTTTGTGTTCTTTTTCTGCATTGGGCTCTGTTCTGGGTGGTTTATTTCTTATGTATTAGCTCAGTCTCTTTAACGCCATTTAGTGGGAGGCACTGTTATGCCCACTTGACAGATTGGAAAGTAGAGGCATGGAGCAGTTAAGCAGTTTGTTAAAGATCAATAAATGGCAGAGTGTTGATTAAAACCAAGGCAGCCTGGCTCCAGAACCTGCCTTATTATTCACCTACACTGTCTCTCATAATATTTATAAAATTGAGGTGATACTATACAATTTTGATTCCTGCTTTTTAACTGGACATTACGCCTGAGCACCTTCCCATAATGTGCATAAACCCCCCAAAGATATAGAATTTTAATTCATTTGTTTAATAGGACCATAGTGAAATAATCTCTAAAGCTTTGCAATTTAGAACTCTGCACTTAAATGGTTACAGAGATGATGAAGCATTCTCACTTAATGCTTATCATTTTTTAAATTCAGTAATCTTAAATTACTAGAGTTAAGCTGGTCCAGACACTAAACATTTTGAAACCTGTGTTTGATCTCATAGATTTCATAGCAGGAAAACAAACTTAACGTTAGTAGAAACTGTGAGCAGTCAATGCCTGTGACTGTTTTGAAAGTTCATTGTCATGGGGAATTGTGTTGGGGCTGTTCAACACAATTGTGTGTTGTCTTATGGGTGATGGTGGGCCCAAGTGTCTGTGAAGACTTTCTTACTGCTGTGTCAAGACCACAACTTTATTTACAAGGGGGCAGTTTAGAAAGATGTTCCCATGAGGTCGGGTCATAGAAACCTCAGCTAGTCTTCATGGCTGGTGTCGTCATGAGCAGGTGGATGTTCTCTGTATGTCTGGAAGTTATTTGTGAGGTAGGACCACACTGTGTACCAGCAGCCTAGTTCCTGCAGTTGGCTCAGCCTATAATCCCAGCGCTTTGGGAGGCTGAGGTGAGTGGATTGCCTGAGCCCGCGGGTTCGAGACCCGCCTGGGCAACTTGGCGAGACCTCATCTCTACAATAAATCAAAAATTAGCCGGGCGTGGTAGCGCGTGCCTGTAGTTCCGGCTACTTGGAAGGCTGAGGTGGAAGGATCGCCGGAGCCCAGCAGGTTGAGGCTGCGGTGGCCGGTAGCAGCCACTACGCTCCAATCTGGGCGACAGAGTGAGACTCCAACTCAAAAAAAAAAAAAGGAAAAGGTTCAGATTCATAAACTGTATAGAGATTTAAACCAATTGACAAATTTAAAATGGATAACCTAAGAAACCTTTGACTTATGGTGGTGTCGAGTAGCAGCAAATGGCCTTCTGAGTCCGGCAGCCATTGGTGGGAATTCCAGTGCACCTACTTACTCACTAGATGACCTTGGCCAAGTGTCTGTGGCTTAGTTAATACTGGCTCTTAAATATGTTTTAGTCTTCTTTCAAAATAATCTAGCCAGATAGTGCGCTGGTTAAAAATATATGTGAAAGCCAGACTGCCTGGCTTCCAGTCCTGGCCTTACTCCTTCCTGGCTGTGTAACATTGGGCCAGTTATGTAAACTACCTGTACCTCAGTTTGCTTTTTTAAAAAATTGAGAAGCTGGTCTGGATTTTAAAAATGTGGTACATATACGTGATGGAATATTACACAGCCATAAAGAAGGGCAAATATGAACTTCACAGCAACTTGAATGGACTTAGAGTCTATAATACTCAGTGATCTATCACAGAAACAAAGAACTGAGTACCACATGTTTTCACTCATAAGCAGACCCTGAACATTTACCATAATACTATAAGAAAGGGATTGGCAGTAGTGGGATACTGCAGGGATTGGGGGTGGGTGGAGAACACAGCATCAATAAGGGTAACTGATCTCAAATCATGTGAAGTGAGGACAAAAGGGAGGCCCAAACTTTACCTGTACGATGACCACTTATATACCTAATCCTGAATTATACCCCACATCTTTAAAATAAAAAAAAATTAAAAAGATGTTGAGTTGTACATAAGTCTTAGGGGTGACTGTGAGTGTTAAATAATTATTATACATAAAGTCCTTAGGACAGTTTGGTATACAGTAGGAAGTTTATGAATGTTTGCTATCATCTTCAATACTATAATTATTAAATAACTTCAGAAGAAGATAAAAATACCTTAAAAAATAAGAATCTTAATAAACATTTCCTCAGCTTCTGCAACTTTTGCTTACTATTCGATTATCATTTGTTCCTTGTTTGTGGCTCAGACATAGTTTATTCCAGTGCAAATTGAAATATGAATTTTAAATTTGGTGAAGTCACTCTGTTTTATCTCAGCTAGCAGAATTTGCTGGTTTAGCTCGATGTTTGAATATACACTTTTTTGTTGTTGAACAGTGACCATTCTGGAATGTTCTTTCTCCCTCCAGATCATTCAGAACTGGGAGAACTTCCCCCACGGTCTCCTTTAGAGCCAGTTTGTGAAGATGGGCCGTTTGGCCCCACACCAGAGGAAAAGAAAAAGAGGACATCTCGCGAGCTCCGAGAACTGTGGCAGAAGGCGATTCTCCAACAGATCCTGCTCCTCAGAATGGAGAAGGAAAATCAGAAGCTCCAAGGTCGGTTTGCCTTTTGGACGTTGAACAGGCCTGAGCATCTTGCCCCGTCTGGGCTCTGAAGCGAATCCCATCGGGCGTAAGCATGTTGTCTTCAGAAGACAAAAGCAAGGCAGTCTCAAAAACATATCTATCTGTTTATATCTGTTTACTTTGTCAAAATAATGTTAACACTATTTACTTTTCTCTCACCAACTCTATTAATTAGTCTTACGTGGTCAATATTGGCACAGTATCTGGAACTTCTGAGCTAGAAGCTTCAGATTTAAGCTCGAACCCTCTGAAAGGCATGCTGTGCTTTGTTTTGTTTTCTTTTTTTTTTTGAGTTGGAGTCTCACTCTGTCACCCAGACTGGAGTGCAGTGGCCGCTCCCGGCCACCGCAGCCTCGACCTGCTGGGCTCCGGCGATCCTTCTGCCTCAGCCTTCCAAGTAGCTGGAACTACAGGTGTATGCTACCACGCCCGGCTAATTTTTGATTTATTATAGAGATGAGGTCTTGCCAAGTTGCCCAGGTGGGTCTCGAACCCGCGGGCTCAGGCAATCCACTCACCTCAGCCTCCCAAGGCACAGGATTACAGGCTGAGCCACCAAGCCTGGCTTATGTTTTGTTTTCTTCTCTCTCTTTCTACTCAATACTTAGTCATGGTCTCTGCCTGTGTGTTAGGAGGAACTGGTCCTATGGAAGTCATCAAGTGTGTAATCTCACTCTTTTTGCCCCTTTAGTGAGTTGCAGGTAAGCTGCAAAAACACTAGCTGGGCTGTACTTGTGCTGATATTAAGTGTCAAAATATGTTTTGAAAGTTTAGCTTTTGATCATTTCCTGTTTCCATACCAACACTTGAACAGTAGATGTGATTTTCAAAGTACGTTAAGAAGCTAAGTTTGCACGCCCTTTGGAAAGAGCATGGGCCTTAGGGTGATGAGATGCCTGGACAGGAAGTAGTAAAGATTTTGATCAGGAAGGGGGGACAGACTCTTCCAAAGGAAGTTGCAGCAGGGGGATCAGTCATGTTGCCATTGCCCCAGGGCAGCTTTGGAGTTAGGAGTACATTTCATTAGTAGCATCATTGATTGCAGTTGTTTGCCTTTTAATAGTGGCCTTTTATAATATTCTTTAAAATGACGTGTATAGCGCTGAGGGTCATGAAGACAGCAAATCTGATAAATTCCCAGGAATGCCTTCAAGTTGTACAGAACCTTTGCTGCTCTTCATAGCTGGTGTCATAGTGAGCGATGGGTGTTCTCTGGGCATGTCTATAAGATGTTTGTGAGTCATGATAGCACAGTGTACTAGCAACATAGTTTCTGTGGTTAAAAGGGGACAAATGCAGCTGGGCTCGGTGGCTCAGCCTGTAATCCCGCGCCTTTGGGAGGCTGAGGTGAGTGGATTGCCAGAGCC